GTACAACGAAGTTATATTTTTCCTTAGTCTACACACTGCATTCAACTCTTATAATACCCTCTTTCTCTTTGAGACTTTGTGCATATACACAGCTTCTGCTTCATACCTGTGTCTACCAAGCAAGTTGCAAAAAGGAAGCTCTCTCTGAAGTAGGAAAAACCCAGAAACCTGAGGAAATCAACTGGAAAAGATTTATTAGAGACAGAAAAAGAATTAACCAATGTTTTGCTACCTGCCATTGCCAGTCTGCATGAGATACTATCAAATTGCCGTAGAAATAAACTATCTCATTTTCCTCAGTTTTTAAATAAAGCAAATATTAGCACTAACGTAAGTTTTGCTGGAATAATTATTCTTATCCCTCATCCAGAAAAGCTTCATAGGGCCTTAAAAAAAAATCCCCAACCAAATTATCCCCCTCCCCATAAGATAATGTTTTATAGAGGAATGCTAACAATCAAAATGTAGCTACTTCTATCAGCTGCTGAACAGCTCCGCATTCAATACATTCCTGTCATGTACACCCCCACATGCATGAACACCAAGTGGATTTTAAACAGAAGTGGGCAAAATGAGTCAATCCAAATCAGAAGCTGAGCAGAGACCCCTTTGTTTTCTTTGAAGTGATACTTGATTCAGAAAAAGATCACAATGGATTTAGCTGTTACACTGATGTCAACAGGATAATGGTACCAGATAAACAATTACATTTGATAAGGAAAGGAAAACCCTGGAGAACCAAGTGAGAGACAACAGAGCCTGCATTCCTTAGGACTGTATCAGTGCCGGCAGAAAATTCTACAGTTATTCTTGCAAACAGAAAAATCCATGGGAAGTGACAATCACACCTCCCACTCCCCAAAAAAACCCAACAACAAAACCAAACAAAAAAAAAATACCCAAAGAACCCAAACCCACACCTACTCACACTATATACTTATTTTAATCCCTTTTTTTCCAGGTCACAACAGCTAAGGCTGTTTAACACAGTCAAGAAACAGCTCTGCACAAATAACCTAGAGATTTCTCTTTAATATTTCTGCTCCCCACTCCAGTTAGATGGGGAAGAAAACAGCTATGACTCAAAGCTGTACCTTAAGAGGAAGCTGACTATTACATTCTTCATCACCCACAACTCTAGGACGCCGAAGACATTTTTCAAGAGACCATTTCCCCTGAGCTATGTGAAATCCTATTTGAAAAATAAAACAGCATCCATGCAGTCTTGGATACAGCTTCCTGTAAAGTCAAAGCAGATTCTCCAGCTATCTGTTGCAAAGAAATCTGCAAACAGCTGCATGGCTTCAGCAAGAGAGAAGAGTTTTGTACCAAACGGATGCAGTTTTCTTACAGAACGAAGATCACAAGAATTTCAGTCTTTTTTTTCCTGGTACTGAAAAAAAAACAAATTCCTGGCTCTGATAAATGAAAGCTTGGGCAGCGCTCAAATTCTTTCATAATAAACAAACTCAGATTCATTTAATGTTTCTGTACTAAGAATAATAACATGTTCAAAAGGCCTTTCTCCTGCACCCTACTAGGCACTCTGCTTCACAAATCTGAACTGGAATCGGATTCCTCTGGAAATTATGTTGGTATCCAGAGCTCAGAGGTATGTTTTCAATGGAGAAGTAGGTGCTTCCCAGGCTTGTCAAATAAGACTGTAATTGAGTAAGATATTTAAGACTGAACACCTCTTCAGTTGCTGTTTTCAGATTCTTGGCAACCTCTCAGAGTAGATACAGCATCAAAATGTGGAAAAAGGCATTAAAACACCACACACGTGCAATAAGGCAGAAGGCAGGTTTTGATCTTGTGGCTGAGAAGTTCTTTGGAAAGAATACTGAACCCAAAGCCTGGTTTCAGCTGGGAACTGAAGTAGTAAAATGACAGAAGGCAAGTCCCAGTACACACATGAACCACAACAGCCACTCATACTGTGTTTCCTTGGGTATGTGATAGGCACATCACAAACCTTTCACAAAAAAAATAACAGTTTGCATGCTTGCACTGTATGATTTTAGGTGGTAATACTTACAGGAAGAAGGAGGTGTTTATCATACCTCTATCACAAAGAATGAGACATGAATAAAGTCAAAGGGACAGCTTTTCCAGCTGTTATCACTGAATAAAATACTTTGAGCTCAGTGTCTGATCCATTTGGTAATTCTCTGCAACAAGATTTTTTTGGCCTTTTGATAAACCGAAACTGGTCAGAAAGCAAAGAGACCGATAAAATGCAGAAAGCCGTTTCTCCCATCAAAACATATCCTCAGTAAAAAGAACAGTGACTGATTAAGATTTACCTTAAGAAGTTCTATGCAGTCATCATAAACTGACCATTTCTAGGCCTGGTATCCAGAAAGTGGGTGCCATTATACAAACATAAGCAGTTTTGCCCAGACTGTTAGGCAGCACAGCTCAAAAAATGTGTTACAGTCACCTCCCAAGAACTTGAGCAGTTAAAGACTCAGACCCCAATCAAACTTCAGTTTCTTTCATGAAGAGGAAGAAGCAAAAATTTCACCTTTTCTGCCCTCAGAGAGGAGCACTATGAAGCACAGTACTTACATGCACAAATGCAAGCTTGGAGGACAGCAAGTCAAAAGAAAAATTCTCTTCTCATTCATAGCGTATATGCATCTACTCTGGATTCCAGTGCTGCTATACCTTCAGAAACATGAAACTGATGTTGAATAAAATGAGTCCCATACCAATCTAAAATTTGACGACTATCCTGACCCTTTAAAGAGGAAACGTAAGCTGAAGGAAGACTTAGTATGATTTATTTTCCTTTATAATCTGAATTTGTGTATCCTAGCATACATCCTATCTATTGCTTTAATGATATATTGATATACAGAGACCCAGGCTCCTGCAGTCCCATCTTACTGAAGTATTTTGGTATTATTTCTCTGACAGACCCCACTAGTACACTGACTTTTCCTTCAAATCTTTGTTTACTCTCAGGGAATTCTCTCACAAAGCTTTCAATGTACATCCGTCAAACCAATTCACTACTAGATTTATTGTTTTAAGTAGTCATTTCTGCAGTAGCAATTTGACAACAGGTTCTTGGTATATGTGCAGACCTGCCTTTGCTCATTTTCAAGTAAGTTATTTCCTTCACAAAACACATCTTGGTTCTAATTTACTGACTTTAATCTTAAATGTTCTCATTCACCAACAAACTCATTCTCACTTTAAAATACAGAAATGTGTGTTGCTAATTCTGTCAAATTAATACTATACCAAACTGAATTACTGAGCATGAAATAATTACATGCACCATAAACTTTATTTTTTTTCCCTAGTCTCAGTCTGAACGAGCCAGGTTCTATGCAGTTGACTTTTCTGAAGTAGGATACTTTTCCCTGGTGTAGATAGATCAAATGGGAGTTTTCCAGAATGACCAAACCCACACCAAGAGCACTTAGCTCCCATTATTAATAAAGCACCACCCACACTCAAGTAATTATTTAAATAAAAAATAAACATTAATCAAATGCTTTAAAAGTATTAGCAAAGGAAAGACTGTTGACTACGCAGATGTGGAATAGACAAGGATTTCTCCTATAAAATTTCCAACTACAGTTAGTACCAGATACTATTGGGAAGATAAAGAAAAGCTTTTACTGTGGATACATCTACTACGTGCCCAAGTTTCTTCCTCTTAAGTTTCCAAATCCCTTGAGAGTCAGGAGCAATGCCTACCTGTAACAAAAAAAACAGATTCTGGTGACACAGCCACAACAAACAATTTGCTGGACACTTGTTGCTGTCTAGTGGCTGCAACATGGACCTGCAGACTACTCATCCAATTTTAACAGAAACTTTGACTTCTGCTGACTTTAGCACTTAAGATGTATTTTCAGTGACGCAAATACTTCAAAGTTGACTTTACTTTTGTTCCAGACCTGCAGCAGAGCCTGTGGGCCCAAAAGGCAGCCCGTTTCCTTTTAAATCAACTGATGGGGCTGTGGGAAGTGAGAGATAACACCTCTTCTTGCAAATGGTCTGATGTAGATACCTAGTGGGATTTTCAAAAAGATTCAAGAAAGTTATTCCAAGTACTTCAAGTAATTTGGGAAAGCAAAACAAACAAAGAGATCAAATAATATTAAAAAAAAAATATTATATAGATAGATAAGATAGATACGCACATACACACACACCCCACCAGTGTCAGAGTAAAGAGTGGGTTAAATGTGAATTCAGTTTAAATTAAGGGAAGAAGTCTCAGTGACTTCAGTGATGGTATGATCCCATCCCTCTCCCCACTCCATACACACACTTGCCCCTCGAAAAGCAAATTAAGTAGGAACTAAGTCTTTCTTCCTGCCACATCAGTAAAGGCAACGATGCTGCTAAGTTCCAGCAAAGCTCCCAAATACTCTGCTCATAGACTGTACTGGCCAACAAACAATTAGATCATTCCTGAATTAAAGAAATACCCAGAAGCAATTCTGCATAAGCACTATTTTCTTCCAAAGCACAATGGAAAGTTGGCATGTACTTCATTCACCAGAACTGTAATTTGGTTTAAGCAAGGGTTTATTTTAAAGATCTTCATCTCTCACCTACAGGCTATTCCAGAACCTCATGAATCAGCAGATAGTTACTGTTTATTAGAAAGCCGCCCTCTTTAAGTCATCTTCACTTCCTTCTCAGTATTTTGCAGAAAGCATAAAAAGAACTATATCATCAGCCTTCGCTATAGGCAACTGTCTACAACTGGCCAGAATCTAGAACATGAAGTATTTAGGATTCAATATTGAACTTTGATATACAGATCTCTAACAAATCAAATAGCCTACTACTAGAAAAAAATTAAGTAAACAGCAGCCCTACAACAGACATCTTCTTTCAGGTATTTACAATATACTTTACATCATGTCACAAGATCAGGTGTACTCTTTTGTCCTCTTCCAGATACTCGTGGGTTTTAAAGTATCTCCAATAACCAGGTGTTTAAAGGAAATCAGACACTACACAGGTTAAACAACATGGTTCTATTAAAAACTATCTTTAACCATGGCACTCAGTGACAGCAATACAATACTTTTTCCACAAAGCAACTAATATAAAAATATGCCATAAAATCATCTGTAGACTAGTATGCTAGTACATATATGTAATCATAACATTCTTTTATAAACTCTTTCCTGAGATACCGTGGGTTGTTTGATTTTCTTTGTATTACTGGATGCATCATCTTCACAAATCATCTAAAATAATTGTAAAATATTTTCTATGTGCAGGACACTCGGTTAACACATAAAAAGTAGTATGTTAAATATATGGCAAAGAAACAGCTCTTAAAAATTATGCGCTTTTTTACTTTGTTGCATTTCTTTAACATTTGGCTCCTTGGGAGATGGAAAGGAGGAGCATGTGAGACCTGAAATTAGAGCTATGAATTGACAAAAAGCAGGAAAGCATTCAGGAATGTTAGGAGTTGGAATATAATATAAATGACACAAAAAGAAAGCCTTAATTCATGTTGGCTATGTATTGTCTTATAAAGCAACTGGTCATGTTTTAGTCAGTTCACAGTATAATAAATATTTTTACTAATCTGTTTTGGAAGAGCAAATGTCTTTTAGGGTTTCAAGCTCCTCTATAAGTTTCTTGTTCTGAACTTCTAGCACTGCAACACGACTCTCCAGACATTTTATGTATTCTTTCTTCCGACGTCGACATTCTTTAGCAGCTTCCCTGCAAAAAGCAGAAGTAAAAAGTGCAAACAAAAAAGCCATTTGCATGCCATTAGAAAGCTCAGCAGAGTATGGAGACTATGACAGAATTCCAAATTTTGGAATATCTCCCAAATCAGTCTGAAAACACTAAGCAAAACTGGGTTCCACAAGGGCCTCAAGTGTCTCTTTCTCAAGTTCATATGGCAATCTGTAGAATTGCTTCCTCTCATGCCTTGATTTAAGTTCATAATAAACGAGGTCCAAATGAAAGACAGTTATTCTGCTTTATGACAATAAAGATCTTTGAGGGCCTTGAGTTCCTCAATGAGAGTCTTGTTTTGGTTTTCAAGCACAGCCACACGATTTTCAAGACATTTGACATATTCTTTCTTCTTTCTGCGACATTCTCTGGCAGCTTCCCTGGAACCAATACAAGGCAAATGACTACAGGAACAGCCACAATATGGCAAAGACTGGATAAATGAAATTACCTGCAACCCCTGCTGTTCCACAACAACAAAAACAAACACCACCACCACCAACTGCTGGATTGCACAAACAGAACAGCAGGTAAAAGCCATAAGCAGTAACAGTTAAAATACAATTCAAAAGAACTAGAACTTGAAACAAATTTATCATCAACTAATACAAAGATGGAACTGATACACAGAGGAACTAAGAAAAACAGTGAGTAAAGAAGCAGCATTTCTTCTTCCAGTCGCATTCCATTTTGTCTGTTTATCAGTATTACCTTCTGCAATCAAAATCTTAAAATTAAACCAAAGAATTTACTTTGAGAAAATACAAGCATAACACTACTCTCTTCAGACAAAAAGCTACATGCCAAGCTTACAACCTATTGTTATTTCTTTACCTTAATGTAACAATCTACAGCAAAATTTAAGTCCAAACAAACACAATCTACTGGCATTTTAGAGCTGTCCACCTGGGCACACTTCAACCACATGCATCTGGGTTTTTGTTTTTGCTGCTGGCAAATGGTAGCATGGAGCCATTCTCATAGCTCTGCTCAGAATTCTCTTATATTGAAGCTAAACACTTTGGGTAGTATTTTCAGAAGCATGTGACTGAACAGGCATTCAATTCCAGAATAAATTTTAGAAGTACTGGGAATTCAGTCTTTTAAGATCCTGGAACACGATAAAGTGTCAAGCTGTGAGAGTAACTTCCCAGCAAGTTTTACGAGAGAGTGTAGATGCTATTATTAAAACTGAAGAGAGAAGAAACAAGAGGAAGCACAACAATGCAGCGATCATCACGAGTAATTTAAAATAAAGGACAGGCATGAGAGCAAAGCAATACCATTAATTTAATCATAAAGCAAGTGGCTATTCAATGCATTAGAGATCTGCATAGCAGACTATTTCTTCCATTAATCTAACTACCACTGATTGCAGTAGCCAGGCATTTAAAAAAAGGAGAGTCCCCTAAGAACAGCAAGAAGAATGCACAGAGAAAGACTGGCAGTTACAGCACACAGTCAAGCCCATGCCAACTAATTAAAAAAAAAATACAGCCACCTCACACAAAACGCCTCATGAAATGACAGGGGCACTGCACAGTAACTTATCCCAGTAGCCAATTATTTAGGAAAGCCTATAATTATCATTCCACCCTAGAATAAGTCCTCTTCAGAGCATCATTAATGGACAGCTGCTAATGAGATCCTCAGATATTTTCCTAACCAGTTCTTTGCTGGGATGTTTCAAGATGAACAAACCCATAGTGGTCATTTTACTGTTGGTGGGGCAAGGGGGGATTCAACACTAAGTACACCTCCAGATGATCACAGAAATAACCAGAAAGGGACAACACTAATACTGATTTCTGAATTTCCATAATATTTTCAAACTAAAAATCCATGGTAATAAGGTCAACTCCAGTTTTCCAGAGTTAACAGCCAATACACAATGCTATAAGGACGTGGGATGACTGACAATTTCTTGCCTTCCCTTCAGCACTCACAGGCAGTGCTCACGACCTTAAGAAGAAAGCTTCATTCAAACGTTTTGGGGTTGGGTTTGTTTGTTTTTCAACACTGACTATTAATTGTGATATAGTCTTACCTATTTTTCATAAGTCTCAGCTCTCTCTTGCGAGTTGCCTCTTCTGCCAGTTGCTGAGGGCTATGCAAAGTCCCTGGTGAGGCTGCCATTACCACTCCCTGAGGTAAGGTAGTAGTGGGAGTTCGAATCTGGTAAGCTGGCATGTCTCCAGTGGCAGCTGTATAAAAGAATCATATCTTAAAATTCATGGGAAAAAAAACAAACCAAAACAAAAACGAACTATGGAAAAGTCTGAGAATAACAGATCTCTGCTGGGGAGTAACCCAGGATCCCTGCTACATAAAACATTTCATAGGCCTGTCATGTCACAACCACATTGGTTATATTTCTAGCATTTATTTCCACGCTGTAAAATAAGTTATCTAAATTGCTCTAGCACGTGGTCCCACTAGCCAGCCAGACTGAAGCCTGTGAAAGCTTCCACATGGCTCTTTTCAGACAACATAGGGAAAGCTGTTTGAAAAACACCAACAGAGCATCCACACTTATTTCCTGTTTGCACAATCTCACAAAAAGATGGTCCTGCTGTTGCAGCCACTGAAGTTTATATGCTTCAGAAGTCAACTTTCTCCTCTTTCCCTGTGATAGCAACAGTACCAGCCTTACTGCCTTTCCTCCCTTTAGAGCAGCAGCTTGGCAACCCTTGGAAAACCAATGAGAGATGCTGTTGCCAGAATGAAAGCGAACAGACAAGTGCTCACAGTGAACAGGGGTATGTTCCTTAAGTAAAAGGACCACAAATATGATGCTGAAGAATTAGCAGGCAAGAGAAAGTAGTGGCTGTTTAACAGAAAGGGGTATAGTTACACAGTAAACCAGAGCACAAAAGTTCATATTCAGCTCCTGAACCTACTACAACTTTTGAGCCCTCCCCAAGCCACAGACCTGAAATCTGACATGTTATTTCAAACCAATACCTTCCTCATAGTCTCCCTCATTTCTGTATTTCTGAGGTACTTTATTCCTACATGATGTACCCCAACTTCAGAATACTGTTAAAAGCCCTAAATACAGCGTCTTGTCTGACACAGGAAGAGGGGAAGAAAAAAAAAAAAAAGTATCTCTCTTCAAATTATAAGCAAGTATTTACCTATTCCTTTCCATAAATATATATTATCACACATCAAACTCCAAATTTTGTCATTAAAGCAATTAAACATAAAACATTAAATTTCAGAGGCTTTTATAATTAATTTATACTTTAATTCTTTAAAGTAATATTCAAATAATGGAAAAATTGGTGTCATGGTTTTACACCAGCCTGCAACTAAGCGCCACACAGCCACCTGCTTACCTCCCCTCCTTCCCAGGGGATGAGAGATAGAACCAGAAGGGTAAAAGTAAGAAAATTTGTGGGTTGAGATGAAAACAGTCTAATAATTGAAATATAATAAGAAGAATAATGATAAGAAGCAAAAGAATCGTAATGAAAAGGAAGATAACAAAAAGAAAGAAAACACAAGGCAAACAAGCGAGGCAAATGAGTAACAATTGCTCACCACCAACTGACCGATACCCAGCCAGTTCCTGAGCAGCAGCCCCTGGCTAGCTTTCCCCACAGTTTATACACGAGCATGATGCCACATGGTATGGAGCATTCCTTTGGCCAGTTGGGATCAGCTGTCCCAGCTGTGTCCTCTCCCAGCTTCTTGTGCCCCCCACAGCCTCCTCACTGGCAGGGCAGCATTGGAAGCTGAAAAGTCCTTGACTTAGTGTAAGCGTGGCTCAGCGCCACCTAAAACATCAGTGTGTTATCAACATTATTCTCATCCTAAATCCAAAACACAGCACTGTATCACCTGCTATGAAGAAAATTCACTCTACCCCAGCCAAAACCGGGACAACTTGGAAAAAAAATGTAGACAAAAACACCTTGGGGAAACTGACAGGTACAACAGTAAAGACACATTAGTCAACTACGGGGAGCGGAAGAAACCTAAACCAAATAAAAAATCACTATCATTCTTATTAAGTTAATGAAAGTGCTTTACTAATTAAGTACAAAAAATAGGATCAAGCTGTGTTTAGACTACAATTCTATAGGTGTGTCCTGAAATCCTTATCAGTTTAAACACTTTACACCTTCCCCCTCTCTCTATCCTGATGGTAAAAGTGTTTGTGGAATTACAAGATGAACTGGACCAGTGAACTGGCCTGGGTTACAGATAATCCCCTGGGGATGGGGGAGAGAGAGAGAAATCAGCCCAGGACAGCCCTGTGAGCACTAAACAGGCAGCCACTCTGAACACAGGGTTTGGTGGCCTTGTACATCTAGAAGAAAATTAATTAACCCTTTCTTTAAGTTCTCCACATCTCTTAGCACTATGGAATTTTATTACAGAAATTTATAAACCCTACAGGCTCACCTTTATGCTGGTTGTATTACATACATTTTATAGAGTCTACGCTAAGAACTACCTTTTTCTATCATGCCCAGGTAAAAAAAAAAAAGGAGCTGTTATCTTGGTTTGCACTACCTACAATGAATTAGAAATCCAGGTGAAGCATTTTGTAGATCAAGTCATGGGGAAAGGCCCATGACCTAGGTCACCTCAGCCTGGCAAGTCCAACCACTTTTTTGTCTTTGATTTACAGTCAGATATTAGCTAATAGGACTTATTGCTGCTGTTACACTCAGTCCTGAGAGGACTCTCTGTGATCATGTACCTGCAACAAGACTTAACAAAAGTGAGTTCCTATCTCAGCTGGGATCAGCAAACACCAGTAAGCAACATATTGCATGAACAGTTTGAGCAGGTTCCAGTCGTGTCTGTGCCTACCTAACAGTTGACTCATTTATGAATCTAACAATGTGGTAACAGAGATAAATAACCTTTTTGCCGTACAGACCTTGTAAACCCAGACATTATTGCAAATCAATTATTTCAAAGTCTGCAAATTTTTCTGTATAATATCTCCAGAAGTTACAATAAAATACTGTTTCCTCCAAATAAGTCATTGGGAAAGTTGGAACAGGCTTTAAGCAGGAGATGAGGGGTATGTGGTGGTAGTGGTGTAACATACCCTTGGGGGGAAAAAAAAAAAAAAAAAAAAAAAAGATAAAATTATGGCTTATGTCTAGTAATGTATCTGCATATTACAGAGAAGGGTACCTTCCACTTCAGCACTTGAGACAAAAATCCCACACCCCCTGATCCAGACTGACAAACCTCTGTGACTGTTTCCAATGATGATCCATGGAGATTTAAAGTAATTCCTGATATTCCATACATGGGACTGAGACTGTTAGCAAAGCAACAAACCTGGAGAAGGTGTATTCCCTAACAGATTGCTCCAGATAATTTTTATCTTTTTTCCCCTCCTTAAAATTGCAAGGGAGTAGGAAGTCAGCGAAAACCTGAAGCTTTGAGTTGAGACTTACATAAAGGAAATTATTAACAGGAAGCCAAACAAACAAACAAAAAACCAATCCTCATCTGAAAGAATGTGTAAATACAGCTCTGAGAAATTAACAAAAAATAAAATATTTTTTTTTTTTAAAGATCAACTACCTTGTATCAGCAGATCCTTAAAAAAAGTAACTTGCTGAACACTAGAGAGCATCCCAGCACTTGAGTTCTTTCAGTGACTATCCAGGAGAAAAAAAGCCCAATGCATGCTATGTATTAATGCGTCTATTCTTCTGCAAGTCATGATGGAACTAAATTATCAAAGGGTTTTCAACTTCACCACTAAACTGGCTAAACAAGGCATGAATCACTACCCCTTTGAGCATAAAAAAACAAAACGTCGACTTAGAGAAGATACTTATCTTGGATTAATGAAACAGTAGGTAGCAGCAATGAGCAGCAGCACGTAGGTCCCGGCTGCGAACCGGTTAACATTACAGATCTGCCGGAGGCAACTGACGAAGCAGAAAGGAACTGACTAAATCGCAGCGTGACTTGGAGCTGACGTCAATGTGTATCTTGTTTGGAGTTTAACTTTTCCAGTTCCCTACTGCAACACGATTCCAGGAAATCTAATGACGTCAGCCTTTTGAACTCAATTAGCTGAGGAACAGACCATTTTAACAGCGGAGGAGAAAACAAGCAGGCGCTACAATACTTAAAATTTATCACTCTCAAATTCATTTGCATTCAGCATTTTCTCTAATAATGAAAGCACAGGGTTTATTTACAGTACCGAAACTGCAGACTTTTTCTCTCTCAGCTCTGCTTAAGATTTTAGAGCTGAAATAGGTTTTAGAGTTTATTGCTAAACAAAAAAGCACTGTCATTTTTACAAAATAAAACCCAATTATAAACATAGTAACATATATGACCATCTCCACAATAAGATGAATTTAAGAGTGGTGGATTTCTCAGCAAAATCCTGCATCAAATAGTAAAGATTAGCCGTCTGAATCAATCTGTGCAAGAACTTATGCACTAACAGTGATTTTCACCCCCCCTCAAACAAAACTGTTTAAATTGCCCTGAAATCCTGTACTAACTAGATATTATGAGAAGCTATTGGCACTGTTTGAAAGATGAAAGAGTTACAGCAACAGGTTCAAAAGAAAAATGTCACAAATACCAACTAAGCACTGCTTAGACAGCCAAAAACATAATGGAAAAGACTAACAAGATTTTTACCTGTTTCATCTCCTGTTACAGCCATGCTCAGCGTCTGCACACACGATTCTCCCGTTCCTCTACCAGAGCTCAGCATGAAGTGTTCCAAACTAGCAAGCATGTGCAGGATTACAAGCAAGAGCACTGACATCACAGTGACCTCACTTGCTTACCACTGTCATTAATACTCTCTGTCACTGGAACAGCTCACTGAAACTACAGCCCAAAGAACTCCTTTTCCAGTAAGCCTTTCCTTTTTTTTTTTCCCCTTCTTCCATATTTCTATAAGCCTAGCTTTGTTCTTTTTTTTCTGAATTATTCATAAAGCTAGAGAAAGCACTTACCACAAAGCTGCCTATAAAGCAAGACCTGAAAATTCACAGCACTGACTGACAGAAGTTAAAACATGGCTCTAGCACTCACAAATTAATCCAAATTAAAGTCATGATCAGATAGAAAACAGGGAAATTTTAAAAAGACATGCAATTATTTTGATTGAAGCAGTTCTACTAAAAGGCAGAGACCTCTGTCAGAGAGACATGCAAGACAGGAAAGCTTAATAAGATGTAACAATAGCTAAATGAAAGGCTAAAACTCCTTGCTTTGGGGAGAGAGGAAGAACCCACAACCCACTCATTTAAGTTAAAAGCTTCAGAAAAGATTGGGAAAAAAAAAAAAAAAGCTCCAAAGTCAACCTAAAGCTAGTGATTCCAGATGCTGTAACAGTAATTCTGGGTAAGGGCTACCCCTATTCCCTCCTTTTCAGATGAAGTCCAGGAGATCTGGTTGACTTAGGTATTTTTTAATTAATAAAAATACAAAACCAAAAACTCAGCTCTAACAGAGTTACTCTTTATTTACACCAATTCAAATGAAATTAGTTTCAGACCAACAGTCCAGGCACCAGTCTGTATGTAGGGCATAGCAAACTTCTAAGGCCTTTGTCTGAAATAAATGCAGAGTGGTAATTCATCAGCTGTGAACCTATGCCAAGGACAGCAATAATGGAAGCATCAGTGCAAAAAAGGAGTGCCCTGTGATTACAGGACCACTTCAGGATCAGATAAATAGAAGATCAGAACTGAAGCATGCAAGAAATAAAAGCCTCAGATGTGAAATACCACTGTTCATACTGCTGACCACATTATGAAAACACACATAAATCCCAACAGAGTGATTTCTGATACAACTTTTTTACGCACATTCTCAATAATAATTAAACTCTCTTGTTTCAGAAAGAAAAAACAACAACCAAACCCAAAACCTTAAACTGTAATAGGGAACTGTCAGGACATCGGAACTGCCTCTGATGTTGCCTGCAAATGTAAACTTGGAGCAAATGGGGTATCACTCGGTGGATCAACACCTTTAGTGCTTTTATACTAATTCTTTTTCCCAATCAGAGGCTATAAAAAAAACATCAAGCACAGGGTTTATGTGATTATTACACATTATTACATGAGATTCATCAATAAATACATCAGAAAAAAATATAAATATATGCATTATCTGAAACAGATCTTTTCTGCCCTAGAATATTCGGGGGGTTTGCCTAGGATTTTGGGAGGGGCTGTTTGAGGCATTTTGTGTGGCTTTGTTATTGTTGGTTTTGTTTGGGTTTTTTGTTGTTGTTTGGGTTTTTAGGGCAGTTTGTTTATCTTGGTTGTTTGGCTTTGATTTGTTTAGAGTTTTACTTCCATGGCAATTAAAATTTATACATCCAGAATCACTATAACAATATACATATAAGTGGGAAGATTACCAAGCAGAATGTTGCTTTCCTATTATAATCTTTTCCCATTATAATCACCTAATACCAAAGTATCAGGTGACCAGTCAACTCCAAATTGTACATAAATGACAAACAGACTACAGACTTTCTAGCATGGGCAAGATAAGGACATATTAGACTCATATACCAAACTAATTCCATTGTCTCACTCCATCCTAAATAACTCAGGTTTGCTGACGACACGCAATTATTATCATAAAGAAATCTGTATTACCATAAACATCCTCACGTGCTTTCATACTCTTTTTATGTACTTCTTTAATTAAAGATACTTTTCTAAAAGATTTTCTAGTATCAACAGTGTATATACTAAGTTGAAACCTTTTACCTTCTCATCATCCCTGAGTTCATGCTCACTTACAATTCCCTTTGTATTTTTCCCTTTATATGTTATACACCATTTTTCTTCTGTGTCAATAGCTGTAAGTATCACTAAAGCACTAGACTTCACTTGGGCCAAAGGAACAGAGAATTCCAGCATGTCAACTTCTCTGAGCATGGACAGTGAACATATCAATTTAGTTAAAAGCATCTAAAGGCTTCCAAGAAAGAGGATATAGCAGCTATTCAGTAACCGTTTCTGAATCCATTTTGCAAGTTTTCATCACTTAATGGGCTATGCCATCAAGTAGTTGAGCCCATCACTGAGAATTAATAGGGAGGTTAGAGGACAGCCCTGTCTAAGGACAACCCTGCAACAGTCCGTAAAGGAAGACGAGTCCCATAAATGAAACTCCCAAGAACTGACATGCTGCCAGATAAAATCCCTAAGTTTTGTGCTTCTTCACAGACTGGGGAGATTTTAGGAAACAACTGAACAGCTGCTCATTCTGCCCCACCCACAGTCCAATGGAAGCCATCCATTTAGTGTCTCTGTACAGAAATCTCTTCCCCATTTTCAAAGGTTTTCCTCACCATAACCCAAACACCAACCCTAATTGCCCTGGTATTGGTAAGAATCCAAGATATCTTTGGTTCTCAATCTCTCTCAGCATTTCCAAAAGGTTGGGACCAGTAAGGTTCTAGAATTCACTATTCACGGTTCATTTTGCATATGTGCATGTTATAGGACCTACAAAGTGTTCTGCTGTGAGAAAACTAGCTTCAGTAAAAGATCGCCTTTCTGGTAACTACAAGAGTCATAAACTGCAAGGAAATTCTACCTTAAACATATCCAAAGAACTTCAGAACTTCAGATTGATTAAATGCTGAAAAAAAAAACCCAAATTAGTTTCATATATCAAATAAGATGCACCCTCAGCATCTCCTTTCAATCTGTAACAGTGTCTTTACTGCAATTAAACATATCTCTCCAAGTCTGGACAGGAGAACTCAAAGCAGAAAGTTATTTTATACTGTTATTTCCTCCTCATAACTTTTTTAATCAAAAGAAGTAGCTGCTTTACTGAACAGAGAAATCAAATCTCCTCCTAAGACTGCCTTTCACTTTCTTACACAGGTATAATGTCAACACAAAATAAAAAGCCTTTTAAGAAACATTGTTTTGTATGAAAAAATTAAAATGCAATAGCCTAATGAAACATACCTTGAACAACAACTTGGCTTCCAGGAACAAAATACTGTTGTGTGCTATGAGGCGATTGTCCTGCATATTGCACAATGGTAGCATCTGGCTGAGGAGCTCCTGAATTTGTCATTCCTAATGTCTGTAGTCCATGGACACCATCAGAGGATGGATTAGAAATCTGGATTGCACCACCTTGAGTTATAGTAACTAAAGACAAAAAGAAAAAGAAAAGTTAGGCAATAGAAAGAGATATAAGACTCTCCCTTTTTGAAATAAACACTGTCTGACAGAACACCTGGTCCTCTCCTTGCTTAAAAGATCAATTGCACAATACAGCTTGCATAGTGTTAATACTGATTTCCATAAATAGAAAGCCTGTCGTGTAGTACATGCCATGTGTGTAACAGAAAAAGCAGTATTCCACACATTTTATCTCTATGCTTTCAGAAATATTAACTCTCTTAAAACAGTTTTAATACAAGAAAAAATAAAAATAGTACCTTATAGGCATACAAACACTAAACTAAAAAAGTAAAAAGAAAAAACCCAACTATGTTTATCAACACCCACAAAACAAAACCTAGGTCAAAGGAAGAGCATCTAGACAGAGAAAGAGCTTCACAATCCTTTACTTAATGCAAGAGAAACTCTAGCCCAACAATGTTTTTCCAAGCTGCAGAGTCCAATACTTACATAAAAAGAGAAACAGAACAAAGTTCGTGATTTTCTCCCCATATAATCAGCAATATGAAAGATACAAATATACTTCCCCATTAAAAAAAAAAAAAAAAAAAAAAATCATACTTTGTTGCTCACTGTAATTATTTAAGACAAAAATTGAATTCCCTACAGAGGTTATTAATTGTATATACAATTGAAGTTATCATTGTCCTTGTTAATAGCAAAAATATCATAGCATGTTTTGGGTTGGAAGGAACCTTAAGATCATCTAGTTTAAACCCTCTTGCCATTGGCAGGGACACCTTCCACTAGACCAGGTTGCTCAAAGCCCCATCCAACCTGGCCTTGAACACTGCCAGGGATGGGGCAGCTACAGCTTCTCTGGGCAAACTGTTCTAGTGCCTCACCACTGTCACAATAAAGTATTTCTTCCTCATATCTAATCTAAATCTACCCTTTTTCAACTTAAAGCCATTATCCCTCATGCTATCACTACACTCCCTGATAAAAGAGTCCCTCCCCATCTTTCTTGTATGCTCCCTTTAAGTACTGGAAGAATGCTAGAAGGTCTCCCCGAAGCCTTCTCCAAGCTAAAAAACACCAACTCTCTCAGCCTGATAAGGCTCATAAGGGAGATGTTCCAAGCCTCTGATCATGGCCCTCCTTCAGATCCAATCATGCAGGTTCATGTCTGTTTTTACAGTGGGGGCCCCAGAGCTGAATGCAGTACTCCAGGTGGGGTCACTTGAGAGCCGAGTAGAGGGGGAGAATCACCTCCTTTGACCTGCTGGTCACACTTCTTTTGATGCAGCCCAGGATGCAACTGGTTTGTTTGGGCTTCAAGCACATATTGCCAGCTCATATTTAGTTTTTTATCCACTAGTACCATCAAGTCCTTCTCCTTAGGGCTGCTCTCAATCCTCTTATCACCCAGCCTGTATCCATGTTTGGGATTGCCCTGACCCAGGTGCAGGACCTTGCATATGGCCTTGCTGAACTTCATAAGGTTTGCACAGACCCACCGCTCAAGGTACCTCTGTATGGCATCCCTTCCCTCCAGCATGGCAACTGCAACAAAGATCTTGGTGTCACCAGAAAACCTGCTGAGGGTGCACTCAATCCCTGCACATGTCCCCAGCAAAGATGTTAAATAATACTGGTCCCAGTACAGACCTCTGAGGAATACCACTCATCACTGGTCTCCACCTAGACATCTAGCCGTTAAGCGCAACTCTTTGAGTGCGACCATCCAGCCAATTCCTTATCCAAGTGGTCCACCTGTCAAATCCATGTCTCTTATGTTAATTAAAATATTCCTAGAACTTCTAGATAAGAACCCAATTCTCAAGAAGTAACAAACTCCTTTCTCCCCCAAAGAGGTATTTTTGAACTACAATCATTGTCATTGCACTTAAAGCGGTCTGAGATAGTACAAAAGTCATACGTAATTACAGATTCAGGATTGCCAGCTCCTGATTTTACTTTCAGATTCGCAATATTGGATAATATTCTTGAAGGTTCAGCTTTGTTTATCTGAATACATGATTCATTACACACCTGTGTGAGTTTTGAAGATAGTTAATTTCAAATGATCTGTCTTGACAATAGTAAGTTATCTTGAAAGTGAAACATCAGATAGTAACACTTCAAAGAGCACTTGAGATACTATCAGTTGATTAGGAAACTGTTATTATTAAATTAGACAATATTAACTATTAGAAGCTCAGCTAGTATTTTGAGAACATAGTAATCTACCTAAATTGCCAAATCCCAGCAGCTAAATTAACTTCTTTTTGGAGAAAATGGGGAATTCCTCTAATGGTGGAGAGCAAGAACAGAGCCCCATCTGCAACACTGGAAAAGAGTTCAGCAAGGACCTCCAGTCCTACCCTCATAATGGGGAATATGGAATGTAGGAAGTGCTGCATGCAGGCTCCAGCATATTTTGCATGGTTAGACCACCACCACAGGTGAGGCAAAACTAGTTTTTCTTTTTCTTTTTTTTTTTTTAATACAGTATTCAATAACCAACATGACAGAACTAAACTACAGCAAACAATATGTTTCTAGTCAGATCAGGCTATAAGGCTCATAACACAAGACACCACTTCATGCAAAACTACCTGTTTCCCTCAGAGAAACGTAACACAGATGTTAATGAAGGTAACAGACACATTTTATCTAGATGGTCATGCCTGTCAGTCTGTCTGCTTCCATAAGCTAAAGCCAAGAAGTTCTGAGGAAAAAGATATTTGGAAACCATGGCAACACACTGTTTTGGCTGGCAAAAAGTAAGCAAAGTACAACCATTACTGCTGCTAACAGAGAAAATGTATTTGTTTTTCAGAAAAATTTACTTATCAACTTCTTCCAAAAATAGACATCCAAACACCAACATACAGTCAAAATTATATTTTCAACTAAACTGCCTTTCCTATGCAGAAACAGAGAGAACAGTAGAGAAAATAAGGAATGAGCAAATAGAGTAGCATACGGTACGAGTTAAACCAGGGCACAGGACAGATGGCTGTAGTGACACTGCAAGACCAATTCTCCAATTCTTCATTGCCATCAACACTGTACAAGCTTAATGCATAAACTGCTGGATGCCTGTACAAGAGAACCCATGCAACTAATGCTGGTCAAGACGAGAGTAGTACTCATACAATAATTAAAAGCAAAAGTAAAGAGGTATTGACAGAAGACATAAAGATAACACAGGTGCAGGTAGTGACCATTTGAATCATATCCAGACTGAAACCAACATGGGCAATGCTGCACCCCCACACAGTGCTTCCAGTTTTAGCGAACAGCAGTTCCTGAGGATTACAGGACAGCTGCTCAGGAATGCTGCATATCTGTGCCTTATGCATGTAAGGACCAGAAGTGAACAGTCAAGCTCTCTTTGGTAAATTCCAAATTAAGACCCCCTCCAGTACAAGGAGAAGACCATCCTAGCTACCACTTGGAAACAATTTTTCCTAACCAGAATTAGAGAGCACATGCATTTCACTGAAGATGTGTGAGATTTTAACCTCAAAAGTTGAATTAAAAAAAAAAAAAAAAAAGGAAAAAAAATTGGTTAAGAAAAACCATTTCCATGAAGACAGAGCTCTCAAGTTTTGAGGCAGCATCAGGAAAGTGTATGAAAGCTGACACTGCATCCTGAAGCAACGCCTCATTATGGCTGAGAAGCTATTTAACAAGTTAAATTACCTTAAATACACAGCACATGTTTTAGGCTATGTCTATAACTTATCCCAAGGAAAAGCAGCATAAACCAGAAATCTATGCTTGGTTCATGCAAAAGCAAAGTTTAAATTAAGATAAATGACAATTAATTTTTTGTGGACTCTGTTAATTTAAGCACATTGTTGGTGATGTTCTGATTTTTCAGAAGTTAATGTCTGATTGAACAAAAAAGCAGAACCTATACATTTCATTATTCTTTTATACACTTCCCTGTCACTATGATTTATAGTTATGTTCAAATTAAAACATCCTTAATTAAGAATCACCTCCTGCAAGACATTGCTAGTGTAAGTACAACTCTTGTTTCCTAGAGGAATCTACAGTTAAAAACCCTAAACTCTAATTTCTTAGAAATCCCTCAGGTTTGAAGGCTCACTAGAACACAATACAGACACTACAGCATTTCTTTTTAAGCCTTGAAACTGCAAATATATTTTTAACTAAACTTAGGCCAAACCAAAAATATAATTCAAAACTTCAAGAAAATAATTTAATTTGGTCAAGAACACCTGCCACATTCTGTACCAGATAACTGTAATTTAGCATGACCACAAGTATGCTGAAAAGAGCACTTCAGATGCTGGACAGCATGAAGCAGACATCTGTTTAGGTCTATATGTTACAGAAAAGGTAAGGAAAGCAGCTTAGGAACCCAAGCAAAATTACTTTCTATGCTGAAGAGGTAGATAGGGAAATTCTGCTTGCTTAGAGTTGATAATTACTTTACTTGCATGAATTAAATAACTGAAGAATTGCAGGCATGATGAGCCATTCTAGCCTCTTTTATATACTACTGCAATGTTTTAACACTCTTCCTCTGTTCTCTTGTTTCAGGAAAAAAACCCCAAAATAACCAAACCGACCAACAAAAAAAAAAAAAAAAAAAAAAAAAAAAAACAAACACCAAAAAAACCCCCACAAAAAAAAACCCCAAAACAACTCAACCAAACAACAACAAAAACCCTGTAGGAATGAAGCTTTGTCTAATTCATAATTGAAAAAAAAGAGGTATTAGCAAGTTATCCCTTGGATAATACGTGATGAAGCCCAAAGAAGCTGTGGAGAGAGTTATCCAACGTTTTTAACATAAATATGAGAATTAAAAAAACTCAACAAATCTATACAACAGAACTGTGAATCTAACTTTCAACTTGCATTTGGATGAAGTATTAAATGTTGGAGACCATAGTTTAGGTTAATTCTGCAGTTAAAGTGTTCATACTTGACAGCTGGAGAGGAAGAGACATAGCTCTTTTAAAAAAGAAAATTCAAAGTTAAGAAATAATTTCATACTCCAACCTTAGACTTCAAAATAGTTTAACTCACTAATTGTCATTTCATGTAATGAATAGCACTAATACAAAGCAAATTACAGTCACTGGAAACCACAATGATTTATAACACTGAATGTTCACATAAAAGCATCAACATTTTTCATTTCACCTGAGCCTCATCTCCACATTTTTAATGCATAGGAGTTCTAGAACGACAAAATCTAGCAACCAACAAACTTAACAAGAAACAGACTAGAAGTTTCTAATACCCATGTTAGAAAAAATACAAAAATTAAAATTATTTAGGAATACAGAAGCTCTCATTCTTCTTCACCAAAATCCAACATCTGCACTTCATTATGGAGCTCTTAGAAGCAAAGTTGTTCCTACATATGTTCTGCAACATCACATAGTATCTTTGGAAACATACTGTATTTCCCTGTGTTAGAATGATACAGGCCAGCTGGCATGGCCATTGCAGGAATTCCAGAAGGCGCTCCTTCATCATCTGACTTTTCTTCTTCAATCTTCGGTATTGCAGGAGCATCTGATGATAGTTCATTCAAAATTTTTCTAAAAAAAGATAATTTTATATATTTGAAATTCCATATCCATGAGAAAAATAAGGCTTTTATCAGACAGTTTTGCTGTAATATGTAAGTTGCCATTAAAAACCAAAATAAAAAGTCCTTACCGGTATGAAGGCCTTCTTGAAAGTATTTCCCTACGTTTTTGAGAATCAATTATCCCTTCTGATTCTGCAGATTCATCTGCAATCGATGCTGCCTGTAATAGCAAAGTTTCTGAAATTCATAACTTCATTAAAAAAAAAAAAAATATATAGCAACAGAGTAAAAGATTAAAAGATTATTTAAAAAAATTCCTTCCATGCTTGCATACATGAAGCTTGTGCATTTATTTAATCACTAACTGGGTGATCTTGGACTTCTTTTACCAAAGCAAATCATAAACTGTGAGGTTAGCAACACACAGTCATTTAGATGACATCTTCTACTTGAATGAAAAAAAAAAAATATCAAAATAATCCAGGTTACTTTTTGGTAAATGACACCTAGAAAAAGTACTGAAGATAGATTTCTTTAAATATAGCACACATTTTAATTAGCTTTTAAAGTGAAATTGAACATTTAAAATAATGAATATTGCACTAATACACCTTAAAGGACAGTATACAGTACAAAAGCCTCTTCACAACCACACCAAAGCTATTTAGAAAATATGTTTATTTATACATTTAGTACACTTACCAACACATATTCATAAATACAAATACATTGCTTAACAATACTCTACAAGTTTTAGAACCCTCTGACAAGTTTTAGGAACTCCCTAACAAGTTCACAATGTCTCATTTTCTCAGACCTTTATTAGTAATATTTTCACAAGTTCTTTTTCTCTTAAAATTACCTGAGACAACATTGTGGCCTCGAGCTGAATCGCACTCTTTACCAGCAACTATCTTACAAAGAACTGAAAGTGATTAGTGTACAAGGAAAACACCCTATTTTCTTGATTTTACTACTCAGAACTACTGGCATTTAAGATTTCCAAACTGAAACAGCGCAGTAAAAGCTAGTATGGAAAATGACCTTTTCACACAAAGACAGACCAGGCTGCAGTTGCAGACTAAGTACTGTGTTAAGCTAACACTGAACAAACATGAGTTAAGTGACTAGAAAGCTCAAGTGTTTGACCTGGAATCACTGGAGGCTTCCAGGCAGCACAGGGAAGACAAGGAAGAGCTCCAGAATTACCTCAGCTGCCACACCTGGGTGCTTGGTGCTAGAAATAACACCTGCTTCACCTCAACAGAAAATGACCAGCTGGAAGGTTCTAAAAATTTATAGGCTTGGGTCCCAACAACTTGAATCTGTAAAACTACACCTTGAAAAACTACAGGTTATCGCAGAATGAAATTCTCTTCACTGGTTAATTTTATTACATTCCAGTTCTGTGTAAAAATATTTCATGTAGCCTCATTTTGCTTGGTAAGTATGTAGGAAACTTCATTAAAACTTTAAACCTAATAAAAGACCATCCAGAAATAATGAGAGGTATGTACTTCTGCTTGTCTACAGATGTATAGTTCCAAACCAGACTTCAGAGCTCACTGGCAGAGATACAAGAGCTTCAGGAATTTTGTATTCATCCTTTTGCAGGATGGACCAATGCTGACCAGCAAAGAGATCTTCTAAAAATAATCTCTCTCCAGTACCCTACAGGATTTGCCTGTGGATCAACCTTCAAGTCTCTGGCACAAAACTTCAAAACTAAGACAATATTACATAGCCAAGAGCCTGGGCATCCTATCTCAAAACACAGCTCTCACTCTGCCAGGGGAGAGGAGAGGGAGATTAAAAAAAAAAAATATGCATTTAATTGCTCCAGGACAAACAGCAAGAAAACAAGTCTCTAGTGCCTTTAAACCTTCCTATCCCACTAAGTGTTACCTATAGTCACCTTTAGTTTGTGAAGATGGCCAAAGAAGTCAGGAACAGTAGTACTTTGGGAAGAAGGTAACGAAATCAAAAGGCAATTTAAGCATTTTAATGTGGAAGAGGATATTTTGTGCAAGAAAAGTTCTAGCTTTCATCAAAACAAATATTTTAATGTTTCAGTTTGTTCTAATAGCAAGCAACCACATTTGCAATGCTAACCAGTGGAAAACAATGTCATTTTTTCCTGGACATCATTCAGACCTCAACGTTACCACACCACTGTGTGTTTTGAACAAACTGAACTTAGTCTGCCAATACCTGAAGCACTACAGAGGGGAGCAAGTAGAAAAGTCAAATAACAATCTCAACTTCAAAAACTTTCCAACAAGTAAAACAATATAAACAAACCAGTAAGGAACATGATATAGATAAGCCTTTCCTTAATCCGAAACCCAACAGCATTACAAAAAAAAAAAAAAAAAGGTTGAACACTTTCCAGTTTAAAGCTGCAGGTGTTTGAGGGAGAGGTCATGCAAAGCTTTAACACCAACTTTCAGCATACTTTTTTTTCTGGTAAAGTAAACTGATATCGTTTCCCAGGTTCCCTACTTTCTGGCAGAGATAGGATATCATGCTAAAGCCAAATAATCCAGAGGAAATGCCAGGTGGCAAGATAAAGTACTTAAGAGGACCACAGAAGGGCTAAACAACCTCTGTAATGGAGTCTTTTACAGCATCTTCAAGCCCTTCTTGTAGAGTCACCTTATTTGCCATTACCATGCTCAAATGAAACCAGAGCAAAATCCTGGAACTGCTCAAATGGAACCAGAGCAAAACCCTGGAACTAACTAGCCAGTATTAATCAGGGCACAGCTTTCCTGTCTCTGTTCCTTTGTGAAAGAGAAAATAGCCAGAGTTCACTCAATACAACAAATAGTCGACTTTCATTCCCCTAAGACGACACAGCAGCTGGCAAGAGATTTCAGAGAAATTCCTTCTTCTGAGCTTTGGAGTAATATGCATCCTGACTAGACTGACTTGAAGAAAAGCAGTGACAGAAACAGGGCATGACTGCAATATGCTTACCTGATGAAGTTTGCTCTGGTAAATTACAGTTAGAAAGAATTCCATTTAAAAAAAATACTTATTTTGAATACTCTACTTTGACTTCAAGTTTGACCAAACCCAAGTCTCTTGACATCTACTGCTAGAAATTCAAAACATGCAAGTCCCTCCATCTACACCTACTGCTTACAAATAAAAATTCAGTATCTTGCCAAGGTTTTATTCTTTTTCCCTAATCTCCAAAATAATTCATACTGACATATGCCTTTTTATTCATTGCACTTGAAAGCTAGTAAGTCTAAAACATTAAAGGTGGCTTCTCAAGAAGACTGACAATGCATGTCTTTTTGTTAACATGTTGCAATGTCTGCAGGTCAAACAGTTCACACATAACAGGTGTATATAGCCTTTCTTACCAGAGAGAACAATTCTATTTGCAGAGAGCAATTCAGTTGACATTTCACATCAGATGTTAAGAAAACTAGAGCAAAGGCATTCCTAGCTACAAGAAAAACACCAATGGGAGGCCAAGTCATTTTGAAAACACTGCAAGTCAATTTTCTCTAGTCTTTTTCCTATTTAAAAGCTCAGAAATCTCTTAAGCGTTTTGTACTGGTCCCTATTTTCTAACATCAGCAACTTTAAACACGTGAAGATTTGCCAAATAAATGCTTCCTTTGAGGCTGCCCTTATTTTTGGTCTTTACATATCCATACCCACAAAAAGCAATACCAGATGCTCTAAAAGGGCCTGCTAAAACCAACAAGGAATCACTTCACTACAATACATTTACTTCCATTACACCTAGATCCTCTCCAAAAATACAGTATGAGATACTTGCAAATGTATGAGTTCATAGTCTTATTAGAAACATGATGCTCATAGAGTTAAAAAAACCCAGAAAAACTGCAAGGTAAAGTAATGTAAGGCCACATTATTACACAAATTTGCTGTTTCGTAAGTTCAGGGTTCCAAGACACAATTTCTTACCAGGTAAACAGGAAGCATTAAGGAATCACTACACAGTGCTTGTAGAGCTGCTACTGGTTGACAGTTTGCCACCTCCCCCCACCGTTTCCTGCACCTTATGAGTAAATCTTACAGCACTGGTAGGAATGAAGAGAAACTGGAAATGGAGTTGGGGGCAAGAGTTACCAGTTACCAAATATTCATGAAAATGTAACAATAAAAGAGCTAACCTGAACAGCTTGCATGTGTGGTGACTGAATGACTGAGGGCTGTGTGGCTTGAATGACACCCTGGGCATGAACAGTTTGACCAGAAGGCAACTGCACTAGAGTTAGAGCTGGAGATCCTCTTCCAGCACTTGATGCAGCTACAGAAACCTGCAAAAATTACAACCATCATGTTTAAGTAACATGCCTTAAGACTTCAGCAGATGCTTTTAGAAGTGATACTAAACAAACTTGTTTTGATGCCATATCTAAAATAGCTTAGATGTGTGTAGTTATCACACACAGAAAGAAACTACTTTTATTAGTTAAAGTTTGGTGGGTATCTTTCTAAATGGTATGGAAAGCTTAAATCTGTCCCCTAACAAACTGCAAATCTTTTTCTTTTTTTCCTGAGACTTCATGTTTTCTTTTTAAGTAGAAACAACCCTAAGCTATCACACACTAGATCTGCTGGTGCTAGCATGAAGGTTTGGAAGAAATGTACCAATAATATCAATATTTGCTAAACTGGTATGTCACTGCAACAACATACAGGGCACAATGTCTTAACTGGGAAAAAAATAAATAAAAAAAAAAAAAAAGAAGCCAGAACTGTTTTGGTTTCGCTTGCTTTTTAGACAGATGTCTCAAGAGACACGAGAACTATTAAGATAGCAAATAAAATAAATTTAAATGTTAAATAAAGCAATACACAGATTTCTAAATTGATCTAGTTTAATAAATTCTCTTTATATATATTTAGATATCAAGAAAAGCAGAGTTAGAGTGTATCAATGTTTCAATATGACAACAAAAATTAAAGAACAGCTGAATCTTCTTTAAGCCTAGACCAGCTGAAGAAAGTCTTCTGTCTAGGAATAATCTGATCCCTTTTTCTTATGACGTATTAGAGCACACACAGCTTTCCTCAGCCCTCGGTTCTCAACCATCAGTAATGAGGATGAATGGGTTAAGAAATAGTTACCTACAGGTTAAGAAATAGTTCAATATTTATGCTGTTCCTGTTAAGTCTATTAACAGAAACAAATCCTGAAGCAAAGGATGTCAAGTTCTGTGTGATGAAACA